GACCTGCATGTGCTGTGTGCGTGCTGTATTTAATCCTTCAAGCCATTGTCAGGCTTGTCTGTTACTCTTTGCTGCTCTTTGAAAAAAGCGAAAGCGGCATTAGAAATCTCTGTATTTTTCAGCAATGTCAACATTTTCTGCCTGTAGCTGAACAAAAAGTTAGCGCAAGTGCCTTAAAGGTACTGTCAAGCCAGACAGTATGAGAGCTTTGTTGCTTACAGGGAGGGCATGTTAAAGGCCGATTAAACGAAGCATGCAGCATACAGCGTTTCACTTTGCTTAACAAGTTCTGATGGCTCTACGGTAGATGCTGAAATGCAGTCCATATCACTATTACAGAGCAGAGGCTAGCTCTGCTAGACAGCGCTGGACTGGGGAACCGTTAAGATTCAGCTCCAGTAACTTCCATTTTAAAGCTGGCTACAAGCAGAGGATGCAGCTGGGCTAAGGAGACCCTAGAGGCCTCACTATCCAACCTAGAGATATGTAGAGGAAACACAAAGCTTCACAATACAAATCCCCACACTGCAGTTGGGTAAATGAGTCTGAGTCTATCCAGTCTAGATGAACACATGCATGCTGGGGCCAAGTTTCACCTGTCAGGAAGCGGTGAAATAAGACAGCTCCATCTCTGCAGCCATTCTCCTATGACAGCAACAACTTCCACCAGAGCATACTTTTAGCATTTGACGACTCCCTCATTCCACGCTTACTCGCATGCCTGCGTGACCCGTGTCACAACCAGCACCCCCCAAGCAATGCATTCCTCACTTGTGTGGTGATGTGTGACAACTGACACAGTTTAGTGACACTCACAGCTTTTGTATAGGAAAGCCTTAAAGGCAGTAGGGGAAAACAAGGAGGATACTGACGCTTGCTCTCTCTCTGTAGCAGTGTCAGTGCTCTGAGGGAAAGATGAAAAGCAACTGAGAAGATACCACAGAGGGAAAATATGTCACTAGCTCTCTTGTGGCCTTTTTCCCAGTCATAAGGGACAAGGGCTTTCACATCTGCCACCTGTCACAAAATGTTGCTTTCTGGGTTGGAAAGCATTCGAATGCAGCCACCATGTCCGAGAGACAGGGGAGGACCTGCCCTTTCTCCTGGAATACAGTTTATGTGTAAAGTGTATACAGACTGGATTACCCAGTCTGTATACACTCACCAGTGCTACAGCTGATGACGGCATATCCACACAAACCTGTTTGCGTTTTGTTCAAGCAGTTAGCCATCGCTTCTGATTACTTTTAATAGTACGCCTTCAAGGACACAGGTAAAAGTACAACAGTAGTGGTTCTGGGAAGGCAGATCTAAATGTTGGTCCCCACAGTGAACCTTTTTATCGAAGCAAGTGCTTTGTGGTTTTTCTTCGATTGCTTTTTCACTCTTTTTCAGTCCAGTCCCTGTACCTGACCATTGTTGGAATGTCAGTTTGTCTGTTTGTTTGTTAACCCACCTAACAGTGACCTGTGAATTATTCAAGCAAAAAAACAAAACAAAACAAAAATAGTAAGTAAAACTCAATGTAAAACATGGTGGAGGCTGTGTCACAGTTTGGAGTTGCTTTTCAGCCAGTGGAATTGGAGATTCTGTCAAAATTGTTGGAGTTATGAATGCAGAAATGTACAGTCAGATTTGGATCCACAATGTCAACTGGAAAACATCTGCTTCAGTTTTCAGCACAACAATGGTCTCAAACATACTAGCAATGCAGTAAAAGCATACCTGGATAGAAAAACACATGGAACACTCTCAGCCATAGACTGGCCTCCCCAAAGTCTGGACCTCAACACTACTGAAGCAGAGAATAGCAATACTGAAGGAGCACAGAGTGTAGTAGAATTTAGGTGATCCTACCAAATATGATCAAATTTGTCAGAAAAACACTCAGTTTTTGCTTCATATTCTGTATTTACTTGTATGTTTGCACATGTTGTTGAATAATCCCTTTATCCATTTCCCAAATTATGGGTGGCTCAATGCTTTTGCACAGTACCGTATAATATGCATAACAGCTCTTTCAACATAGACAAATGTAAGGTGCGTGTTACAAAATTAAAATGCAGACTAACCGAACACATGGCTGTTAAACAGATGCATAATTATGCTTGAAAGCCACTGACAGCGCGGCCCCTCTTTATGCGCTCAGGTGGAGCTTTCCTCTGAGTGGAGGATTAAACAGAAGAAGCCGACTGCCCAAATGCGGTGTGACAAAAGGGAAAAGCACAACCTGCGATGGAAGATATTTTAGAGGCTTTAATGGTGTTCTCAGCAAGACACCGAGGCATAGTCACGCAACGGCGGCGGGATCGTTTAAAATTTTATGCTGATAATACATATTTGAACAAAAATCAGAAAGACTGCACAGCTTTCCCGTCCCACCGCGATGATATGGAGTTAATAACATCACTGAATGTTTTAAAGTGTCGAAATCATTTTAAGTTGAAGCTGTTTTGCCAAAAAAAAGTAAATAAAATATATATAAAATAAAAATTCATCTGTCTGCACTGTGTGCTTGGTTTCATTGTTTAGATATAGAGACTGATAGAAAACTGTGTGTATTTTTAATGGAGCATAAACGAGCTGCAAGAAACGCATTAAAAATGCAACCAAAACAAAGTGAGTGCTCCTTCTTGTTGCCTCGCTTGGTTGCAGCAGCGCGCGGAGCACATCTGGAGAGAAACAGGACATCCACTTTTTCGATGACAGGCCCCAGTAAAGCGAAAGGGGGCGGGGTCGGGGCTGGTGTTGGATTTCACAGCCAGAGAACGTGACTGCCATGGTTGCTTCTGCGAACGTCGTTTCGAACTTGCTTGCTCTCTGAACGCCACTCGCCGACTTCTTACCCGCTGTTTGCCCGGTGGGGGTTAACTCACTCAGCGCTCGTGAGGGCCACCGTTTTTTGGAGATTTTGAGAAGTCGGCGGAAAACTTTCAAAAAAAAAAAGAAAAGAAAAGAAAAAAGAGACTACAACCCGCGTTAGAAATACAGCGGCGCGACTGAACTTCCAGCAGCAGTCCGAGGCGAGCAGCAGCGGCAGGAGGAGGAGTCAACAGGTCCCAGGTATTACCATACACTTGTCATTGACAGCTAGACAACATTTGACAGCATGTGTCCAGTTCTCGGGTCTCCTTCGGGGGGTTAACCAGGCACCGTAGTAACCTGTCCGCTTTACACCTGGAGGACTTTGAACGCGTCACGAGTCGGCACGGTCATTAAATGCACGGGTGTGACAGTTTTTTGTTTGTTTGTTTGTTTTAACGCCGTTCATTGGCAGAAGCGTACTGGACAGCCTGACCATAAAACTCCCTGTCAAGTTGGCGTTCTCATGGCCAATTAAGCAAAAAAAAATAAACCATAGGTGTGTTTAACCGAGCGACGTTATAAATGCGAATCCGACGCTTCTTAGGTCGGCTAGCATGTCAGAGCTAACGCGTCTTTGCCTAGGTGGAGGTTGGAAAGACATCGGGTCACATTTAAGTGCTGACAGCTTCCTTTACTTAATTAACAGAGCCGTTTCGGTGTCCACCTAGCTTGGCTGTTGAGAAAGTGGGGATTTACGGATTAAAAGAGAAGGAGGGGAAAACCCTGTAATGTGTGTCTGGGTGTCTCTGTTACCCTCTCAGAGAAAAGCTAGTGTTTTTGGCAGCGTCGGGACAGCGGAATGTGGGGAGATAGTATTTCATTTCACATGGTGCGCTATGCACATTTCGCTCACCATTGTTTGGCTGTGGGCTACTTCAGGCTGGAGGTAAACTTTGCTCCAGTGCATAATTAATACCGGTCATGTCAGGGAGCCACTTCCTCGGTGTGCAGACTAGAGGCACCGGCCACTGCTTGCAATACTTTCAAGGTGCTCTGAAACTGAGCTGCATACCTGCTGACCCGACAAGGGGAGAAAAAAGTACTGTAACAAAAACAGCCACATGCTTTTTTTTCTGTTGCTTTTCTTTATAGCCTTAAGGTACATTGGCAAACTGACAGATATCTCCCCCAATTTGTTAACACTCTCGATTATCTGCTGTCAAGATAATGTGGCGATTTAAGGCGTCTGCATCACCTCAAATTAAATTTCAGGAGTCTTTAAGTATACCCTGCAGCATCAAAATCCTGCAGTGTTGTCTTGTAAAATGTTGTCTTATAAACCACAGATTACAGTGTTCTGTACCCTCTGTTGATAGCGGTACTTTGTAGAGATGTTTCCCTGTGTTTGAATGAACCCTCATTTCCTGTGTAGGATTTGTTGAGTGATTTATTTATTTAAGCTATGACTCTCTAGATCTTCTCTGCTGGCTGCATGGCAGGGCAGACCGGTTGTTTTCAGGGGGAAGCGATCGCAGGGTGGCACTGAAAGGAAAAAAAGATACCCGACCTTTCCTGTGACAGTCTGTGACATTCAGAGCAAGATGCATTAGGGGAAGAGTCACTCACTGGGAAATCTGGGGTGTTTGAGGGTTTTCCCACCCTGTCACCTCCCGTCTTGGTGTGATTCACAGTTAAATGCTGTGCCCTCACCACGGTTTGGCAAGGCTTGGCCTGAATACAAGATTATTCTTTCCTACCCAGTAAGCTGTCACTCTAATGAAAATTTTTGATAATAACCTTCAGACATTTTGCATAAAATTGTTGTGTTTACTGTCTAGCCATCTTGTGATACCTGATCCGATGTCACGCATGCTCATCATTGTGTTCTAAAAATACAGTTCCCGATAAGCTGCGGGGTTATATGAAAGGCATGATACTGGCACTCGCGAGCAGATCTCATAGTAGCGTTTTAATTGAGCGAGGTTCAGAGAAAGGGTTTCCTGCAGTCACATGCCGTTTTCATGCTAGTAAGATTTTAAAGGTTTTTGGTTTTTTTTGTTCTCAGAAGGTCTATTAAAGATCTAAAGACCTAGTCATACTGCCCACTGTCGCATTTGTTAGTAAAAAAAGTGACAGGAGTGGTTTCTGTGATGCAGTCAGAACTTCTGTGACAAGTGTTGGCGGAAAGCAGCGACTCTTCTCGTGTGAACCGTGCCAGTCAAAGGCCTCGTGTGCCCTAAATGTATCATCATGTCAGCAGAGGCAGTGGCACACTCAGTTTGCCACCTCACCTCCCCCACGCCCTCGGCGTGTCCCTCTGCTTCCTCTATAGTTTGTAGAGTCAACTCAAACACTAGAAAGGGTTTTTTGTCTGTCTCTCTCTCTTTTTTTTGTTGTTGTTGTTGGTTTGGCATGGCAGTGGTGAGTCAGTAGCTCCTAGCTCTGTGAGTTTGGTTACATGTGATGACAGTTTTTCTCATCATACATGGAACTAGTGAATTCAGCAGATGATACGTGGTGAGTTATTAACGGTTGTTTGGATTGTTCTTGATGAGAGGAATTTATTTGAAGGTTTGTTTTAGTTTTGTGGGGTTTTCTCTTTTTTTGCACAATTCACACATTTATATACTCTTTCCCTTCCCTGTGGTGTAATATTATATCAGTATAATAAGGCTTGTGTATTGAATTAATGCATTTTTAGTGACCTCCTTTTGGACTTAAGTATGTTTTTCTTTTCTTCTTTTACCATTATAAGGATGGCATCTGTCAGGTGCTTTGATTGTAGCAGTCTTGCTGGCCGCAGTAGCCTGCTACCCTGTCGATGATGTGCCAGGCTGACTCACGAGGTTATGACTGTACAGTACGAAGTCAGCATGTGCTGACAGATGAACCAAGTTCACTGCAACTAGAGGTGTCACCCAGTGCTTTTTGAATGGTAAACACCTCTACCCCAGTCGCACCAACGCCCTGTCAGATTTTGATTGCTAGATGTTTTGTTAGTGAAAACCACACAGCAGAAATAAGAGTTCGACTTGCTGTAAATAGGAAAAACTGATGTGAAGATTGGGGTTTGTTTCTTTTTTTGTCTTTTATTTCTTAGAATCTATTTGGTGTGCACAGGTGTTGGTTGACTACTGATGCTGCCGTAAAGAGTAGTAAGCAGCAAACATGCTTCTACAAATGGAGTCCAGTGGAACCGCACAGTGTGGCTTTACACTAATAAAACCAGCCTTGACCCAAATGAAACGGGCCCACGGTCTGTCAGAATAAGTAGAAATAAATTAGGATATTACTGTGGTTTTTCTGTGGTGCCCAATGACGTAGTCGTTGCCTTTGGGACTGGGGCGAGTGTGGGAAAAGCAGGAGAGAAGAAGGGTGGGAGGAGAGTGTAGCTGAAGCCGAGTGGGATATTTTTTTTTTTTTTTTTGGAGGGGGAGTGGAGCCGCTGTGATGTGGGAGCTCCGCTCATGTTGGCCGGCGGCAGTTAGACAGGCCTGCTTTTGCATACTGATTCCAATTCTGTAGCTCTCCACATAGCAAACTAGCGTGCCTGGTGCTGCCAGTCACGTGAGGGTTAACTCCCCCTTCCCTTTTATGCTGCTTTCCTTTTATTCCTCTTTTTTTAATGGCTTTGATGGTATTAAATAATCTTTACGTGTCAGAGTGCACAGCTCCCAGTGTTCATGTTGGGAGAGCGAGAGAGCAATTAGGTCAGAGTGGTAGAATAACTTGGTATCATCTCAGTCTTAAAGCGGCAGGCTGCCTCGCTTCCATTTGTTCTTTATATTCACCTCAACCCTTTGGAGCAACATTTTCAAAGAGGTCCAAGGCCAGCTGGGTTATCAAAGCACTCAGAGAAAGAACGTTGTGTCTCTCTGTTGTATAGTCTCTTAATAAAACGTCCCAGAATGGATCATCGGTTGTTATTTTAGGTTCCTCGCTATGTTAATTTGCCTGAAGAATGAGGCCACAATTGTCTCCTTTTTTTCCTAATGAGGCTGAGCTAAAGACCCATATAACCTATTATCCAGGTTATTGATTTAGAATCTGTTTCGAGCTGCACATTGTTTTGATAGACCTTGAAACCATTGATGTTTTACTGCAGAATTGAAGTGCTGATCCCCCTCCCCACTTCAAGATCACATAAAATAATAATATACTCAGGGGGTTGTATTTATGGTTGACATGGCTTGACTGATCTTTGTTGTAAAGTTTCCCACAGCTTATTTTGCATGTTTGAGATTGCATTTCTACCAGCTGGCATGTGGATGTTTCTGGCCTGTGTCGCAGTGTTTCATTGCACTTGTCACAGAATTTCATACTATTTTCCACACTCATTTTGTACCTTGGCTTTTTGCAGAAGTGTCTCTGCCCAGTCGGACAGTCCCCCAGCGTGACGGCTGACATTTCCAGTGAAAGAGACCTATTGTTGCTTCTTAATCCCCCTCCACCCTCCTCTCTATAAAACAATGGTATCAATTGCTTCCACTGAGTACATCCACAGTTCTGAGTGAGAGACAGCCTGGCTGGGCCTGTTAGCTAGCCTGCCAACCGTCCTCCCAGGCAGCCCGGACGACCTCTTCATTCCCAGCGATAGCTCGGTGTTTGAGTCCGCAGACTGCTCCTGCACTAATATTACCTCTGCCGCATGTGAACCGGCTCTTGATTGCGACTGCACTGCCACCTTCTAAATGCACAAATAATAGCTCGGGTATATATTTATTTTCCCGCGGAGACGGCGGAGCAGACCGATGGCTTCGACACACCCCCGTCCCTCACCTCCTTAATGAACGGTCTTCATTCTATTTTCCTTCATTTTCCCGAGGACACTGCCATTAACTTTGACAGATGATATGTTCTTTTAGCGAAACGGTGATCCTGAGCGCACCGTCACTGGAAATTGGATTTGCACACCCACCCCTTTTGCTCCTTGCGTTTTCTCCATCTCTCCTTTTTCTCTGCTTTTTCTTTCTCTCTCCGTCAGCACTGAGGGACATGCTGTTAATATTCCTTTTAGAGCTGCGCTGTACAGCTGAGCTGCCAAGTTAACCTTCTGCTGTCATGAGTCAGACAGCTAGCTAGATAGCCAGTGTCACTTACACAGATGTCTGACCGGCCAATCTGTCCTTAAGTGCTTCTTGATAATATGCGTATTTCTCTGTGCCAAGTGTGAATGTGCAGTCAGTCATAACATTCAGTTTTCATGTCCACTTTGCTGACACCGATGTAATTTGAATGTATTTGACAGTTAAATATTT